GAAATGGGAACAGAAACAGAATAAAACAAGTTTCGTTAAAATCGGGCCACGGATTACCGAGTTAGCGCCGTTTTCCGGGTCACTTTTATGAACATTTCTAAGCATGAGTAATTTTATATCACACTACCGTTAGTGCTCTTTATGAGACTTCCCCGTTCAAATCTATTTCCCTGTCAGTGTTCCCATTTTCATTAAAAGGCGTAAGATAACAAAAACAAGATCTTGAATAATTTTTCAATAATGTGCATTGGTTATGGTAGGTAATTCTAAGAAAAAATAAAGTGTTACTGTTTCTTATTTGTAGAAGGTTTAAGAGGAAAGACCACAACATGATGAACTAATTCATCACACATGAAAACGCTGCCTTCACTTTTTTGAAAAATGAAATGATCTTTCCTTTTATTCCCGATCAACAATTAAATATCTTTTCTTGAATTATGAATAACATGAATGGATTGAAATATCTAATTAAATTATCTCAAAATAAACCTTCATTTCGGTGCAATATTGAAATTAGCTTGAATTCTTCATAACCCCTGAATAGTGGGTGACACAATGGGTCACGGGTGGTCTAGTTCTTTATAAATCTAGTTATGTGGACACGTCTGTCTCATGGCCTAACATTCTTATTAGTCAAAACGGTAGAGGGAAATACCCATTTCCTATTCAATCGTTATAAATATATTTTTATTCTTTAGCAGCAGCATTTTTCCGTTTACGACACGTAATTTCCATGTAACTAAAACTATATGATAATAGCAATTTAGTCAGTGATGTCATAGCTAATTTTTCTTGGAGGTGGGTGCACAGTCAGAACACAAAATACTTTTGTTATCAGTGTAGGTTAATATTCATACAAACAATAAGTGGGGCATGTTTTACTTTTCACATTTTAAAATTTCCGTTGTTACTTCGATTAACTTCTTGGTGTATAATACAGACAGATATTTTCAACATACTAAATCAAATCTCTATACTTGGATGTGTGATTTTAAATCAGTAGGGGTGGCTTGTACACCTGTGGCCTATAGGCACAACGCCATTAAATTTGGTAATTTTTTTTTTTCAGTAATCGATATTATGATTACCATACATTTTTCTGACGTTAAATCAAAGTAAACAGATCGCAGAAATATTAACAACAATAGTTAAATCTGCTTTAATATGAAAAAGATGTTTTAATTATATGCTCAAGTTTTAAAATTACACTAGGTTCGAATCAATACAAGTTTAAATACATCTACTTGTGTTGACTAGATCATATTAAAGTTCATAAATGTTAGAATGTTTTAATGGCAAAATAAACCAATGTAGTAACTAGTTTTTCTTTTGGCTTAGGGTATTGGATTATTAAAATTTTAAAAACTTGTGTTCTCTGACACAGTTTCTTGCACTTAATAATTTTCTCAATTTCTTAAGAAACAATTCATTCCTCAGTCTGTTTTAGAAATTCAACAATAATTTTATCTTGGGAAAATCGGCTTCTTGAATTTCTCATTAATGTTCATGGGTTAAAGTGCAGGTCATGGGGACTGAATACCATCAGAGAACACAGGTGGGCCGCAAGAAAATTTTCATGGGTAGACAACCAGCAACTTTGTTGTCTGTCTTTCACAAAGACCAAATGGAAATTTACTTTGACCTATAATTGAAATCTTTCCCAATATTTCTTTAACAGTTTATACTAAATTGTATATCAAATCCACTCAAACCCAATCAGTCTCTTGAGTTTTCAATTTATCTCTATAAGGTGTTGTTTTGCCACATTACCAAATCTCTTATCTAATCACAAGTACTAGAATTTTATGACTGGATTCCTATCTTCTTTCCCATCATCTTGAAAGGTACTTCATAAGGTCTCTCTTGCATAAAACTAAAGAACTGAGATTTTAGTTGTGCATTAAAATAAAACTACATTCCTCATATACGATAAGTTACATTAATAATTACTTATATTTTAGGTTGATTGTAATCTAACGTCAAGAAAAAAGAAATGCTCAGTCCAGAAAATGCAACTTATTAATGAGTTGAATGCTAAGGGAAGTTCGTTTGTTGTTAAGCGCAAAGCTATGCAATGGGTTATCTGTGCTGTGCCCACCATGAGTATCGAAACGCGGATTTTAGTGGTGTGAGCCTGCAGACTTACTACAGAGCCACTAGGGGTCGCTTACGAAATATATATGCAATTCACAAGCAAGAATTATTAGCAGTATAATGGTTTTTGTTCCTCCGTAGTTTGTCAGGTTAGAGTGGTCAGGAAACAAGATTGTCATGTACAAATTTTGTTACCTGACTGGCTTATTTAAAAGAGTGAAAGACTTTGCTAATCTTCATGGTACATGGTTAGCTGTAGCTTTATCATCTTAGTTTTTGTACACAATGATAAGATACTAGTTGCGCTTGTTTTGAATATTTCCTAAACAAATGCTACCAGCACTCACAACCTCCAAAGTGTGAAGCAACGTAATGTCAACCATGAACCTTCAGATGGTAAAAACAAATGTTCTTAGTTGAAGTTTTATCATTGCATGAAATAACATTAGGAATATCATTATCATTTTGTGCTCAAATCTTAAATTTCATAGGCCTGCGCTGGTTTTATTGACTCAAAAATTTTCCATGTTCTGCAGTCATTCCTGTACGCTGAATCCGAAAATGATATCCATTTTCTCCATCACGTACAGATTTTTCACAAAACGTCATATGTACTTTTATATAAGTAAATCATTTCTATTGAAATCGGGTCACATTTTATTATGTTTAAAATGTTAACGGCCATTGACTATAGATTTTTCTAGACCAATAGCGACGCGACTCTTATTGATCGTTCTAGAGCCCACGAGAAACACACAGCTAGTATATAAACGGTTAACAGGCCGCGTGATATGTCATTTTTGGATAGTATTTGTGCGTGCACTTTGACATTATTTTTTTCTTTTCAGTATTATTCATTCGTCGCTGTAGCAACAAGAGGTTGTGTAAATGACCCAAACATGTTCTGTTATATTTGTGGTAAAGAAAGAAAAGCAAAACATTACAGAATTCGTCAAAAAAGCGTATTACACGTATTTTGGAATAAAACTTGGGGACCAAGACAAATCATAGGCTCCGCACAAAGTTTGAACCGTTTGTGTCGAAGAGTTGAGACAATGGACTAAAGGTAAGAAAAAGTCTTTGCCTTTTGGAATTCCATTGGTCTGGCGTGAGCGTAGAAACCACGGAAATTATTGCTATTTCTGCTCATGTAACGTGCAAGGCTACAACACTCGAAATAAAATGGAAATTTCTTATCCGAACCTTCAATCTGTTATAAGACCAATTGCTCATGGACCTGATGTACGTGTACCTCCTCCACCAGAGGATCTTGATACAGTTTCATCCGATTCTGATGTCAATAGAAATGATGATAGGGATTGTTTTCAACTTGGAACGTCTGGTGAACCACAACATTTCACACAAAGTAAACTTAATGATTTGGGCTTTCCAAAGGATTCTTTAGAGATTTTGGAGTCCAGAAATCGGGTTAAGAACTTATTTTCTCCAGGGACATCATTTTACTTGTATAGAAACCGTGTGAAAGAGTTTATACCATACAAGAAGGTTCACTGATTTATTGCAACAATATTGCTGAATTAATACCAATCCCAGGAGCTGCAGTCTATGAACCAAGTGTGTGGCAATTGTTCATTGAATCCTCCAAAAGAAGTCTAAAATGTATTCTTCTTCACAATGGTAACATATATGCATCTTCTCCTATTGCTCATTTGGTTCACTGGAAATAAACGTACGAAAATCTCAAACTTCTTAATAAAGTCAAATACAAAGAACATGGTTGAATACTTTGTTGGGTCAATAATCCGGTTATGCAAAGTTTCCATGTTTTTTGTGTGAATGGGATGGCATAGCACGAAATCAGACTGGATAAAGAAGCAACAGCCACGCAGAGTCAGCCAGTTTGGTTGACACAAAGAAACTCCTATTACTTCCACTTCACACAAAATTGGATTAATGAAGCAGTTTTTAAAGACCTTAGACAAAGATGGTGACTGTTTCAAGTATCTATGTAGACAATTCCCAGCTCTTTTAGAAGCGAAACTTAAAGAAGGGATTTTTGTTGGGCCTTAGATTAGAAAATTGACTTCGGATGAACAATTCAAAAGGACGATGATGAAAGTTGAAATAGAAGCGTGAATTGCTTTTAAAGATGTTAATGATAAATTTTTAGGAAACGACAAGGGCCCAAATCACGAAAATATTATCAATAACATACTCGATAAATTCAAAGAGTTGGGTTGTAATATGAGCTTGAAAGTTCATTTCTTACACTTACATATTGACTATTTCCCTGAAAATCTCGGTGCTGTCAGCGAAGAACAGGGGGAAATGTTTCATCAAGACATCAGGGAAATGGAGAGGAGGTATCAGGGAAGGTGGAACATCAGCATGATGGCTAATTACTCCTGATAATTGAAATGAGATGCTACAGACGCAATACGTAAAAGTAAGACCACAACATGTAATTTGAGAATAAAAGACGTAGATTTCACAAAAAATATCTGGATGAATGTAGATCCATATTCGTTTGACATCAGTGTTCTTCCCTTTTCTTCAGTTTGTTTGTATTTTTTGTCAACAGACATAATAAAAAAAATGTTCACTGTGGTAAACGAAATAATAATTTGTTCTAAGTAAGTTTTTTTCTCGATTTGTAAAAAAAATCCTTAAGTGATAGAAATAAATAAATATCGTTTTCAAAATCTGCGTAGCTGAATTATGGAAAATCCGTTATTAAAACCAAAGCAACTTTTATGAAGTTTAAATTCGCAAGCCTATTTTATTTACAGGCGTTTCAATATTTTCCAGCCATAGTACTTAATTTCTGTAGAATTACATAACATTCCTCAGATGTTTTAGAACAACTGAAAAACTATATAATATTTAATACAGATAAAGTACTCTTTTGAACTCGTACAATGACCAGGAAACATTAAATTAAACAATTTTAAGATATTTACAAGCCATTTGTACTTTATTTTCATAGCTGGACCTTTCTACAAGTAAAATATGTCAAATTGTGAGGAAGATTGTATTGTAAATGTCCCAAGATTTTGTAATTTTTATAGTATGCTATTTAAGTGGAAAACAGTTATCAAAAAACAAAATTAAGTTAAAATAAAAAAAGCCCAATCCTTTCAAATAGCCTCACTGTCAGAAAAATTCTTTTGTTAATATTGAGTTTCATATTTTTCAGGTTGTAGTTAAAAGCTTATTTGTTATTCATGAACAGTTATTTCTGTTTATTGTTTCCAAGATACATTGTAGCTCGCCTTCCTATCCAAATCATTGATCTCATTAGAGTTTGTTGTAGGAAAAAACATTTGAAGCCTAACTTCATAATGAGATATCTATGGAAAAAAGCAATCTTTAAACATGACTTGATAACAGAAGCATAAGTAGGATAACTTCGAGAAAATACTATCTTGAATGAACACTTAACAGAGATGTGACTTGTAAGAGAAAAATAACAGAATTATACATGTTTTGGAAGAGAACACTCAGTTCTAAAGGTACATTTAGTGCAATAATAGTCACTGTAGCTGAATTTTTTTCCCTTTACTTACAATTAAGTAGGGAGTACTACCATCCTACAGGTAATTAACTAGTCTAATAAAACGTGCTGGGTACTAAACAGCATCCATATAACATACAGGCAACAATAACAACAAAATTTATTTTAGTAAGGAATATTTCTTTTCTTAAAATGAGAAGACCACATTTCATTATGATCTCTTAACACCACCACTTGTAATACATGAAACATTTATATTTCCTGAAGAAATAAACAATTCTGACATTATATACACATTTTTTCAAAATATACATTCATCAATAAAAACTGTTAGAATTATGAAAACACATCAAACAGTTAATCAATATTTGGACAAGATGTCTCTATGTTTAAATTTGTATTTAATGAAAAAAAAGCAGTAATATACTGTAGTTTTCACATGTTGATATGTGGACAATAAGTTAGATCTTTCATCTTTTGGAAAAGAAGAAAAAAGTTTCTATTCACAAATACTTTTGTGGAGGTTGAACTAGAAATTTAAAACTTTTTTAAAACCATTTTTTACAACTCTAGTCTTTCACATCTCATCTTTATGATTCAAACATACATATGTATGTGCTATAAAAAAAATTAAGTATTACTTAGCTCCTAGTTTATTTGGCAGGACTGAACCAGGGTTTTATCGATATCTTGTAGATTCATTGCCTACTGTTCCTTTCAGACTGAAATCTTATTTCAAATCCTATCATAGTATTTACCTTTCAGAAAAATGTCATCTTTTATGCACAAACATGGTTCTAATATATTATTTTCTCCATAAATTGAAATCAGCCTTGAAAGTTATTGATATGAATTGCCAAATATCTAAATGGAATAACTTAAGCTTAAAAACTTTACTTGTCTACAAACACCATTCATTATTCAACAGTAATAACAACAGTTTTAAGTCTCATTACACACATACAACAAACAAGTATTTTTTCTAAATGAATAAACTTGAAATATTTATCTGTAGGCAAGATAAGTTGGTACACATTATATATATATATATATTTGTTATTTGTCTCACATAATAGTTCAAGTGAAATGAATACACATAAAATAAATGTTTTTTAGAAGTAATACTTCAAAGTAACAGAACTGTATAGTAGCTTATGGTTCTAAGTAACATCTTTAGTTAAGTTTTCTCTTTGATCTTTGACTACTGAATGTTTAAGTAAAATAATTAATTTTACATAAAAATAAAATGCATGATTTACTTTAACCAAAATGAGTAACTTTGCTAATCTGTCTAGTGCTACATTACTTTTTTTATTTAAATATTTAAGTAAACTTATAAACACTTTTGAAATAACAAAAAAATATAAAGATACTCCTAATAATCACAACAAACTTTAAAGTACTAAATTTCATTGTATAAAGGTTAAGTGCGGTCTTGGAAATAGTTTAGGGTGTATTTTCATGTTAAGAAAAGGTTAGTTATGGATACCAACCTTTGGAAGCACTGAATCCTCTAAGCTAGCATCTATCTTATCAGGGGATTCAGTTCTTCCCAGACCAAATGTACTTAAGGTTCTATTTTAAAGAAAATGAGATTATTGAAAAATATACATTCAGTGGTCTTTTGTTAAAGTAAAAAAAATGTTTTATGAAAATAAACGAAAACATAAGAATGGAAGCACAAGTTACATAGAAACAAAATACGTCCTTTTTTTTATTAAAAATAAACTTCCCACATTTCTTTCAACTCCTGCTTTGCCTATAGTATTTTATATTAAGATTTTTGTTTGGTATCTTGCTGGGAAACTGGAGATCCTTCCTTCAATGATGCTTCAGGCTGAGAGAAAAAAAATTAATGCTTACAAGACATCAATTCAATTTTTTACTTAGCACCCTTAGGTACATAAGTGTATATAATTATACTGAGACAGATTACAGAAATGTAATTTTAAAATCTGATGGACACAAATACCTGTAATTCCAAGAATTACTAAATTTTTTGCCTATTTTTTATTAAATTACCCGAACAAAGTCTTTATTTTAGCAATGAAACTGTCTATATCAAAGCTTCCAATCATCACACCACCTCTTCCACAACTGCTTCAAATTACCCAGATGAGTATCAAAACAATTTCAAGATACACTGCTTTGCCAAAAACATACAGACAATTCTTAAACATGTAACATAGCCCACCCAAGATCTGCAATAAATACTCTTGAATATGAAAACTGATACATACCACACGGGTTGACTATCAGGGTTAAAGTATGTGAAAGAGGTCAAAATACTGTAAGTTATTTGAAATTATGAACTGTTGGAAGCATGTAAAATTAATAGGTGAAATGAAATAGTTCCAACACTTGGTCACAAAATAATACTGGATACTTGAGAGTATAAGATTTAAAACACCTTCATTACCTGGAAAAACTTTCATACCATAACAAAAATTGAAAATTTGAAACAAATATGCATCTGTAAACAGGAGTAATGTAATTACAAATATTTATTTTTACTATGATGCTTATATCAATTCCTGCAGATACAACGAAGACTAAAATATCTGTACTACAAATAAATGCAACACAAAAAAATGAGATAAAAAAAAAGAGCTTTGGTTGTATTTTTCCTCTATATAGTAATTAATAGTTATTTGATATTAGCATTTTAGTATTATCTCATCTTAATTAATGATGGGGTATTCCTCATAATTGTTTATATATAAAATAAGTAATGTATATAAAATCTTCAGAAATTATATTTCTCAACTTTAATTTGTCAGAAAACTAAACGTGAACCTCTTTGATATTAAGAAAGATATAAACAGCAACAATTACAAGTTTACCACAGAAACATCCTTATTAACCCTTGACATTAACTGGAATACCTTTAGTTGTGCAACACCTACCTGTATATTCTGTTTCTGGTGCACTACTTCAGATGGCTCTTGGGATGCAGCTTGTTGTAATACTTGCTGTTTTTGAACTTGATAGTGTTGTTGTGGTATTCCCTGTTGGTGTTGTGGCACGCCTTGTTGCTGTTGGTGTTGTGGCACTCCTTGTTGCTGTTGGTGTTGTGGCACTCCTTGTTGCTGTTGGTGTTGAGATCCTCCTTGTTGCTGTTGTGGCACTCCTTGTTGCTGTTGGTGTTGTGGCACTCCTTGCTGCTGTTGGTGTTGAGGCCCTCCTTGGAACTGTTGGTGTTGAGGTCCTCCTTGGAACTGCTGGTGTTGTGGAACTCCTTGGAACTGCTGGTGTTGTGGAACTCCTTGGAACTGCTGGTGTTGTGGAACTCCTTGGAACTGCTGGTGTTGTGGAACTCCTTGGAACTGCTGGTGTTGTGGAACTCCTTGGAACTGCTGTTGCTGTGGAACTCCTTGGAACTGCTGTTGCTGTGGAACTCCTTGGAACTGCTGTTGCTGTGGAACTCCTTGGAACTGCTGTTGCTGTGGAACTCCTTGGAACTGCTGTTGCTGGAACTGGTTTTGTGGAGGTACACCCTGATGGTGTTGATTATTTTTCTCAACCTGTTAAATACAGTCTTTATAAAATCTGCAAATACTTTGTGAACATTTTGTAGCAATAAAATACAAAGGTATTCAACATAAACAAAAAATAGGAAATATATTTTTGCTTTTTTTATGGCCAGAAATAGAAAACAAGTTGTTCAACAAAAGTTCTTTGAAGTTTCATACTGATGTATTTTCTTTCTGCTATTTAGTTATTTTTTTTTATTTAGCACTTAAAGTAACAGTATGTAATCATTTTACACATAATCACCGAGTTTCCATACTATACTACACAACAAACTTTGCAGTTTGAAGATGTATACACTTTACCATACATTATAAACTGTTATATATATTAATGTGCCATACAATTTATTATCTTAGCAAGGGAATTAACACAAAAGTCTTTTCCTTAGATGTTTAACATTGCCTTTTGTAATTTGATACAGTTTTTAAATAAGTTGTTGTACACTTGAAAACTACACGTCATTTTTGAGGTGCATCAGTCACTTATACTTTTGTTTATACAGTATTTACCATTTTGAATATGAAATATTTGTTTGTGTGTATGACCACAGACCATATCTTGGGGTAAGTTAAGTAAATTAAGACTTTCTACATTTATGCATAGTTTTATCAGGACAACATTAATAATTTGCTTTCTGTACCTAAAATTTTTTTTTATCAAAAGTAGAAATTTGGAGAGAGAGATGTGGGTGCTATAGCCCAAACATTCCACATCTATATCACCCTTCACTGCCTGCAGGCAGTTGTGGGAAGTTGACTGCTCTCCAAAGTAAAAGAAAAAAGAAAAAAAAAGACAAAATAAGGTACTACCACTTGGGGGTAAGTAAGGTAATCTTACTTCCTGAAATTGGCATTCCAGCCCCTATTGTAATAATAAAGCACTAATTAGTAGCACAGTAGACAAATTATACTAGTATAACATCCCAACCCTGTTATCTAAATTAACTAGTATAACTCCCAACTACAAACCATTAAGTCCACTGTAACTACCAATTTTCTGATGCTACACAAGCCTTTATATGTGATAAGGTGTTCATCTGCATAAAAGTAGTGCCAAGTTGTTTAAAGGACCTTATTAAAACTAGAAATACTTGTTGGAAACTATCAGCAAAATCTCCTAAATGTATACTTTTTTATATATTTATTCAAAGTTTCTTTATTTAAATCCATTGAATATTAATTTCTGCATTAATATATCAACATTAATAATGAAATATTGTAACTTATTATAGATTTCACAAAATCTGAATAATTGCAAAGTTATAATACTTATAACAGAAGAGTATGGCACATTACTCTTAAAAGAGAGTAAGCCATATATTGGAAAAGAAAAAAATTTGTCCTATCAAAAATATTTAGATTGATATCATTATCAATTAGTGAAATTTCAAGATCTAAATAACATGTCTCTGCATTAGAAATTGAAGTATTTTCAATTTCTAATTCTACCAGATAAATAGCATTAATAAAAATATTTATCTTAAGATTATTTATACTAATTAAATCATCTATATACCTGTAAGTTATGCCAAAATTGTCTGGGTTTTTACAGTTGTCAATAAACCTATTCTCATAAAAATAAAGATATAAATTTGCAATACAAGTAGAACAGTTAGCTCCCATTGGAACTCCTTTTGCTTGTTTAACTACCTGGTTATTGAAAAAAAACAATTATTATAAATGCAGAAACTTATTATATCTTTTATATTTTTAAGAGCTAAATTTTCTTTCTTCCAGTAATATGAAATAGTATTGCTTGACTGTTTGAGTATTGATTTTCTATACATATCAAAAATCATTTGATACCCCAAAGTTATAATGAGTCTTTCCAAACACAGTATCAGTCACAGATTCTTTGCAAGTACTAAGAGTTTTGGTCTTTCAATTAAGATTTATAGAAAACAGTCATTCTTTTAAATAATCACTAAGGTATTGTAGTTGTCTGTGCTTCTGAATTTAAAGTAAAAAAGAATGTTAGCTTTTAGCTAGCTTACGTTTTAGGATTTAGTCTTACACCAATCTACAAATCATTATCAATAAGCCAATTAGTTATAAAAACAGTAAATACTAGGCATAATTTTTAAGGTTTAGGTAGAGTTTGGAAGCAAAGTTTCATCAGAGATATTTAAGCCACAGTAACTATCAAGTGTAAAGCTCCTCTCAGGTGTAACATGAGAAGTGATTTAATAGGTTAAAAAAACACTTATGAGATACATGAGTGGTTCATGCAGTATAAGTGGGTGAGATTGAGTTACAGTTCACTTACAAGTCTGGGAAGAGGTACTTTATGTGGGTTCTTGAGGGGGGGAAATTTCAAGTTAATAAAAGAAGCAAGCTTCAAATAATCTTTAACTCATTCAGGATATGTAATTTATGGCAGAAAAAAGTTTGATCCTACAGGCAAACTGGAAATTTCCAATAAAGAACATATATACATATTTCAGTTTTAAAAAATCAAACTTAATATTTATATTTTTGCATTTTTCAGATAATTTGCAATAGAAACTTCACATAATACAATTAACACAGTTTTGAATTGTTTTTTTGATAGAGAAATAACTGAAATACATTTAAGCCATTTAATAAGATAACACCATGAATCACTACAGTGATACTATAAAAGGCCTAAAATGACCTAAAGACTCAAGCCCCTGTCAAATAGTGGTCTCTTCTTCAACAGAACAAAAAATGATAAGGGTAAAAGGTAGTAATGAACTTACAGATTGTACTTAACTGGAAGAATTAATTAAGGTGTGGAATAAACTGACCAATTATGTGAACAAGAAGGTGTGACATACAGTAGATCTCAGATGGGGCCAGAAATCAAAATAAATCAAGAACATGGAAAAGCTAAGATAATTTCTATCTGTCACCACATTATCTAAAATCTGAAGAACTTACAGGTGAAATTAATGTTGTCTACTCTTCAAATACCTATGTAAGTTAATAAATACATTAAAATAATACATTAACCTGATGTGGCATGCCCTTTTGTTGTTGTGGGATATTTTGGTGGCCAGGTTGTTGTGGAGAATCTAAATGCTGTGATGGTGGGTCATGAAGTGCTGGTGGAATACCTTGGTGGCCTGCATATTGGGGTGGTACACCATATTGTTGTGGGGGAGGGTAGTAAACATACTGTGGTGGTACTCCTTGGATCTGTGAAGGGGATAATTTTATATATGCCAGTCAAATCACACAAGTTTAAAAACTTCACACATGATTACTATGTGTGGCACCAATATTAATTTTATGAACAAGACAAAATATGTTTGATAATAAGACTGTTTAACTGTAAAAGCATATGATAACATTTTACATTGTTAGCTACTTCATAAAAATTGCTTTAACCAAAGGCACAAATTTAAAATTACCATTACCTATAACATAACTGTTAGTTAATCTCCTGGATGATTATCATAACATAGAAATTTACTTGTTTTAACTGATCTCACTACTTTCTTCCTCCATTTTAATGACCTAAGTTTGTATGATTAGTAAACTCTTATTCAGGTGATAAGCTAATAATATCCTGCATGCTCTTTATTGCCCAATCAGTGTTAGTCAAGTGTATCTCCTGTCTCTTAATCTATATCCAACCTGATAAGTATTATTTGACCACTTATTTTCAGATCTCTCTGACTTGGGGAGTACAATAGGATGTTTTGTAATAGGATTATCTATTCTAATTCTACTGTAAAATAAGCTGTTAATTTCAAATGCAATATCCCATTTCTTTTGTAATTATATTAATTAGAATACCCAAATAAGCAGTTTATTATGGGTTCCAGTAAAAGGAACCAGGCCATAATATATCTTGCATTGCATTCTGAGGTTAAATAGGTTTGGTTTAAGAGATTTTTTCAAACCAAAAACAGACCTACTACAGCAAATTCAGTGTTAATTAGCACCACCAGAGAGGTAGTTAATGAAATACTAAATATGGATGGTAGTCTAATAACAAAGTTGTGTCAATAAATGTTCTTGACAAGGCCAAAAAACATTAGGTAGTTACTGATAAGAAAGATTCACCATAACAACCGAGTTGAAGAAACTGCCAAAGGAGTGGTAAACAATTTTATCAACTCAGTAAAAGAAACCACCAGATGGGTGGTTAATGTTAACTCAAAGAAACCACCAGAGGGATGGTCAATGCCAAGAACACAGTCAAAGAACCTACCAGAGGGGTGGTCAATGCCAACACTAAAAGCTCTTTTTGAATGTTTTCAATCCATGTTGCAAACTGCCATATATCAATTGAGAAAGGCAATACACATAACAGAATATTGAGCCCACCTGATGAACAAGTCTTAAGAAATGAACTCTTGAATTATATGCCTTAAATTTTCATATGTAATAATAACTGAAACACAGTATAGAGCAGTTTTATTAAAATACTACCACCAATAGTCAATAACAAGGAGGAGAAATATTGTTCACAAGTTTCTACCATAACTCTTCTATAATTTATTAAGATGTAATTAATTAAACATGGAAATCATTTTTGTTATTAAATGAAGTTTAATAAAAAAGTCATGCTATTTAGTTAAGCCTATTTGAAAAGGTAAAGATCAAAGACAATAACTAATAAGCATTTTTTATTTTTCTGCTTTTTTTCTTCTGTCTTCAATAAATTTACTTTTTGAATTAAGTTGATTGTTGTTAAATTCCATGCTTTATTTTTATTTCTTTTTATAAGAAAACTCACTTGATCTGATACTTTGTCCATTTATTTTGTTATCGAGTTTATTTTTCCTAATCTTGAAGTTTATTTTTTGGAAGACTTGAGAATAAGTATTGTTTTAATTTAACATGATATTGCTGTGATACAACGTAAACACCATCAGCTTCAATATTTATTTAATTACTATTTAACATAATAGCTTGAGTAAAATATTTCAAAAGCATGTTTTTTTGCTCTTACAAAAGGTACTCATGACTGCAAAAAACATCTTATAAGTTCAATAACTCATTCTTTAAGTTTAAAATAAACATTTTCTTTGTAAATGCAAATTACAAATATGAAGAAAAAGAATAGTTATTTAACAGCAAAGTATATTCAGAAACAATATTTACTTGAAATACTAACACAGTATTCTAGTTCAGAGAAGTTTTATTGCAGATAAAAAATAAATTTCCAAAAGTAGAATGTCTTAAGAGTAAACTAAAAGTTGGAATAACAAAAATATAAAATTCTGGATTTTGGTGTTTCACTTTAAAAATACCTACATACTTCTTAGGCTTATCAATCTAAGCCATAATGACAATTAGATTTGTGATAAAGAGTAAAAGATACCACCAGATCATATTCAAATATCTAAAAGAAAGGCAAATTCATAAGAACATTCAATAAAAATTCAGTTTTTACAAGGTATTTCATACTTAAAGATATGACTAAACGGTTTAAATAAAAAAAAAGACGAAATTCTTTTAACCCTATCCAGATAGGTCACAGATCAAAGGCCATGTCATCACATTTATTGACTCGCATTCAAAATTTTATTGAACTACTATTTCATGAATTTCTGTCAATAAGTTTGGTCTCAAACTGTAGATTACAATTCATATTTTAGTATTATACATTAGTTAATTTCTTTATTTAAAAGAAAATATTAAAAAACACAGTTAAACATTGGTTTTTGTGTGTTACGTGGTATGTTCAATGCAGCACTGATTCAAATTAGATGTTTGTGATGTCAAAATACTAAGTCTATAGTTTCATATGAATTAGAAACTCAAATTGACAGGCTAGAACATAAAATAAGAACCTCATATCTTTTCTATTTGCTGAGATATCACTCATGTACCGAATCAAACACAGTGACCCTGCTCACCTCTTTCCATTTTTGGATATGGTCCCATATATACATTTACTTCAATATATGACATGTAAATAACCATTCGAAAGCTCATAATGTCCCCCTAGTGGCTTTCTCAGCCATTTTCATGTGTTAGGATGCCATCTCATTCTTTCAAACCAAGATTTCAAAGAATAGGTTGTATCTTTAGTCTGCTCGAAATTTCATATTTTTTGAGACCTAAGTACAGCTTAGTTACTAAACTTGATAAATCATAATGGAATTCTATTGTATTAATATAGTAACTTATGATTTTTTTGATTATTCGAATGCATATATAAAAACCTAAAAAATTTTTTAGTTATTCAAATGTATATATAAAACCTAAAAAAATTTTTTTAGTTTCACATTCTCCATGTGCAAAATTTCTTAAGGCTTAGCAACCTACGACAAGCAGCAACCGAGTACAAAAGTCATAACTAGAAGAGATAATTGTTTGCTTTACTCCTTTATTTACTATTCTATGTTTTAAGAAAAATAAGTTTAAGAAGTATAACTTATAATAATTGAAATGTGACTGTATTTTACAAAATACTAGTCCACTAAAACACAGCCAAGACAGGTCACTTTGTAGAGACTAAAGGTCAGTTTTATATCATTGGATATGGTAACATGAGTGCACGTGCGCCACATCATTGTAACTTCTGTATTGTTAGTCAGGCACAGCTGAAAAATTTTATATTTTGTGTATGAAAGCATTGTAATAATGTTTACTGATAATCTGCCAAATTTTGTTAACATACACTTATTAATTTAAAGGTTATAGTATGAAAACTATATTAAGCACAAAATGGTTAAGAGGTCAATCCCAGGGGCCATGTCTGTGCTGAAAGAATTAACAAACAATGCAATCAAACTAAACCTTACTTACATTAGCTGCTTGTCTCTGAGCCTCAAAATGTTTCTGCAACTGTGCAGCTCTTTGTTTTTCATATTCCTTCATTTCCTCTTCTGTGAATAGAAGCTGCTCATCTATACCCTGAAAAACAAAAAAACAACAACAATTAGAAACTCTTATAATGCAAAATAATTGAATTACTTTAGGCAAATACACTATTGTTGTGAGAAGTGTTCAGGATGTATTAGTGGCAAGTTTGTACTTTTTATACACAAGTTTATTGTTTGCACAAGATTTATATTAATCTAAAACATTTTATTTACAATACAGACGGAAATTGAGCAGCTAAGGCTCTCTTTCACAGAAAGGGTTAAAGCTTCTAATCAGCTTGACAGTAGAGTAATTAATAAATTATGTTGCAAAGCTACAATGTGTATTCAAACTATCAACTTTTTGTCACTATGACGTAAGAAATTGTTCATTAGCAAAACTAACTTTACACTATTTCAATTTTAAAATAACATGTATATAGATATAGTCTATAGCAAAGCCTATCATAAGTACCAAATACAATGATAATTTGAATACAATCTATTACAAAATGTTGGAAACAAACAGAGAAGTTATTAAAAGTTCCTGATGATATGCAAAACTACATAATAATTTGGAAGATTTCTGTCAAAGCTAAAAATTATCACAAATTATATATTGGGATATAATGAAACTACAAAATGTAGAATACCTTTTTGATGATGAGGAACCCACTTTCAGAAACTTTATTACAAGTAACAAAAGTACAATGTTTCAAAAAAAGCTTTTGTCATCATCAGGTATGAACAGAAAAACTCATTGAAATTTGGTGTACATTTATTACTTGTAATAGTTTCTTTCATTACCCATTCAAGCCATCTCCAAACTTTAGGATACCTTTTTAAAAACACATTAAAATGATTGGTGTAAAATGCTGATTCTGTAAAACAGTTTTATTTTTCTATAGTTATATAATGTAATGAAGTATCACAGCACAACATCTAATGATGTTTTAATGTTTACTCATAAATAGCTCATTATGGGTGTTCTGGTAACCCACTTTACCCTAGGAATTTGATCCTGTAAGAAGGGCAAAAACTGTAGTTACAGATAATTATCTGCAAATTCCACCTATCTAATATATAATAATTATTATCATGATAGGATAAGAATTATACGACAGTTTATACAAGAGGCTAAATAACACAAAATGTTTTTTTTTTAAGTGATCTGAAAAAGAGACTGCCTTAAAAATAGCAAGTACTCATGATAATTTGTTTTCAATCTTCTAATATATTACTTTTTATTATAGTTTATAAACAAATCACAAAATCTAATCCAAAGAGAACAGACACTATTAATAAACATTACCTTCCAGCCTTCATCTTTTTCAAAATCATCTTGTTGTGTTAAATCCAAAAACTCTTTTCGGCTTATACGTTTGTCCTTGTCCTTATCAGCCTAGAAATATTAAAAAGAAATCAAATACTTATTTATTAAGAATTAACAACTATTCAGTAAATATAATTTAACTATACATTTTGTTTGATAAGCTATTGTATTTTTCACACTAGAACCTATGAATCAGCTACCATTTTTCTACACTCAATACCACTCTGAAACAGTTGCTTATGTATTGATTATAACAGGCTTATGAAAGAACTTCCTAAACAAGTACCATAACATTTTATAACTTCCTACCACAATTAACTAATGAACTATTCTAGTGATCACAGTTGATATTAATACTTTATGATCTTCTCTTAGTCACATCACATATAATATACTACTTATGCTATAACAGCATGTTTATCACATGCAAACCTGTGTTATTGATACAAAATGAAATATGGGTACCATGTTAATACAATTTTGATCCTATGCTTTTCAAATAATCCTTCAGTGATAAAGAGAGTAAGGGCACATGGCTGAGGCCTCTTGCCCTGTAGCTTTTTTTTTTGTCTAAAATATCATTATTCAATGATAATTCTGGAAATGTGCATGTTCAATTTATTTTAAGTATATAGGGAAGAATGCTTGAAGTTGCTGTCCTAGCAATAGTTTAAAAAACTATCAAACTAGTTTTTACAACAACTTCTATACTTCTGAGATAATTTGTGAATAAAATGTGTATACACATGTATGTGTGTTTAAATTTTGTTCAAGCTTCTGCAAAAAATGTTTCATGCATGTGATATGTCTTACTAATACTTGTTAATATGCTGATGTATTTCTGGGCAACCTGATGGTTGTAGATGTAGTTATGCCCCAGATGTAGTCATTAAGCCTAACAAAGCTTACCTGATTTCTTGTAATAGAAAACATTTCTGTAGTTTTCAAAAAATATAATTTGATGTAAAAACATTTTCAGAAATGAAAAATAATGTAAAAAAAATTCCCAGATCTGTGCCAAGCCTTTTACATTTCCCATGAGATTCCTTTGTTCATACCTGTAAGACGTATGTCTAGTCACTTTCCCACAAACCACAAATTACAACTCAAACCAGTTTATTTACTCTACACTAATTAAATAGTTTATAATCTGCTCAATCCAATTGTTTATAAATATTTTTACAGCTGTTTTCAAAGCCATGCTTCATTAGTAATTATTCAGACCATATATTGTGACATAATAAAATGGTGGGACCAAAGCCTGTAATAACAAAATCAGTATTTGTATTTATGGCAAAGTTACTAAACATATCTGCCATTATCCCTCATTTTGATCTACTAATTAGAGGGAAGGCAGCCAGTCAACAGCACCATACCACTCAGGTTAAGGATTACATTTATTTTCATTTTGATATTTAATATGCAGGAGCACACTTGAAACCTGAAAGTGATCACAGGTCACAATAGCGTAAGGAGGTTAGCTAGGCTAAATGCAAACTGCTTTAGGTAATTGTTTTATATATATTTTTTTAACACTTGCCACTGGTATATTTACACTTAGATGAGATACAACATATTAGTTGCAATTAATTCTCTCACATTAATGTTAAACATTAATGTATCAAATATAGTCACACAAGATATAGATCTGGCAGTAATTCCAACTATGCTAATGAATGTTTTACAAAATATATACTTTAAAAAACTAAAAAAATAGAAAAAAAACAATTAATACCTCATTGTAAATATGTTCTCTCATTCTGTTGTATTCCTCCATCATTTCAACAGGATCATCTTCTGGATTATTAGGATCATACATCTTTCTCACCTTAAATATTAAATTCAACATTATTTAGGATCATTCAACTACCAAATTTTATACTATTTACTCTTAAAATTCATTACAGTCACAGGGTTTTCAATTGAAAGGGTCAAATCTATGACAACATTTTTGAAAATAAACATTGAAGTTCTAATGGTGTACTTCTGTTCTGGAAGGAAGAAAATTCTCACATGATTAGATGTATTTAGTTATGTGAGGATTCTAGGCAATAATTCTAAAATAGAGGAACAAGTAAGATCTTAAATATAATGTAATACATAGTTCTGTCAGTTTTAGCTATATGAAGAGTTTCAAACAATAAAAATGTTTCTTATATTCAAGAATAAAATAAGATTTGATTACTATCATTAGTGCCTTCCATCAGTGAAGTAGCAGACTCAGTTGAAGTACTACTACTGCTTTAGCAGTTGCTACTCTCTGACAATCAACAAGAAAAATTAATGATATATTCAAAAAATAGTTTAATAAAAATTCTGAATGTCATTATCAACAGAGTTGGACCTTCAACCATTAATTAGCTAGTAAAGTAAATTTTGTACACCATTCACATGTAAGCATTTAAAAACCAATATTAAAATAGTAAAATTATGGATGGAACTTAAATTACTAAATAAATGTTATATGATACAACAACAACAGATAAGTAAAGTAATAAAATTTAATGCTTAGCTCTTTCCTTGCCGTGCTAGAGGGGTAATGGTTAAGTTCCTAGAACTGCTTTTGTTGAAACAGTAGAAGTGGTTGAAAGGTTTGATTTCTCCAGAAACTATTTATTTTTCCAACACAAAATTTAGCGACAGGAGAAAAACTCATGCCAAGAACTAATAAGTCTTGATCACTTTATTTTATCAAGATTAGAAAAACAGGAAAGGTTGAAATAAGGTAAAATGTTGAACTTTTAATTACCTTTACGAAAACTGATCTGACCTGACTATAAACAATCTTATATTCTGTAAAGTTAAATAAGTTGCTCAAACAATTTTTTAGAAAGGCTGTACACCACTTCCCCAGGGTCAATCAGTAGGGTTCAAGCAAACAAATAATGTCATGTAGTACAGTTACACAGGAATATTTAAAAGATACTGAGAAGCTTTAACTTGAATAAAATTGATAAAAATTACAATTCATTTACTTACTCTAGTTCACACCATAACACTCATTGTTCATGAAAGCTGATGATATAAATAACACTTAGACCACTACTATGTCTGTCATATTCTAACCAGCCTAATGAACCTTGTTGGCACTGGACATGGCAGATGTATCATGATTGACATACATAACATATTCTTCTTCACAAGTTCTTAAAATTTCTATAACAATTTTGATGCTGATATAATTTTAAAACAGGTTCACCGAAATAAATTTAATAAAATTCAAAACACATAGTTTCAAAATCCTGACCATACGAGTTTATGAATATTTATGCCAAGAATCGTAGAACACATACTTCTAAACTTAAGATTGCTTCCACTTCATCTTCATCTAAATATCCATCTCCATTGATATCTGTAGATGAAAAATATTATCATAAAGCATATTTCAAATGAAAAAGTTTTACACATACAAATTAAGACATGCTTTTAGCAGCATAACATGATCCTTCTCGTGATTTTATCTTAACCTGTTACATTTTCAACCATTAAAGATAACTAAAGCCACATAGATATGTTTACAGATGACATTCCTTGGCGCTACACTGAAATAAAAGCTTTGTCTTTTTTTTTTTCACTTTCATTAGCAAATTATACAAATCTAACAAAATGCATAATATCAATTTTAAAATATTTTTAAGTTTGAAACTTAATATGCAGGTGTGTACTAGACACTTGAAAGGTTAAATTTTATAGTAACTTACAGTCTACTGAAAACGAAATTAACAAATTAATTTTATGATACTTCTGTTTTATGAAAACATTTTGGACAAGGAGTCATTTAATGTCAGAGAATACAAATGTTACAAATGTAATTAGACAGTCAAATAAATAAACACTGGATAAAGCTGATTCCACACCCCAAATATTGTTCAGAAGAACTGTAAAACTTGCCATGCATTGAAAAAAAACACTCTTGGATCAAATTCTTCTCTAGGCATATGATCTCTCTCTTCCCAAACTTGTTCTAGCTGAGGTTTACTACCCTACAAGTATAGATACAATTTATACGTTTATAAAACATCAACCAAAAATCATTAAGAAATACTGTACACACTTCCAAAAATTTGGTTTCAATATCTAGCTACAAACCACACATTCCCCAAGTTTACCTCAACTGATCACATAACACTCTGAATTATATATAAAATAAAAATTTTCTAATAATGAAGTTTAGTAAAGTCACCTTTGAACAAAAAACATACCTTAATGTATTCCATACAATGTATGTTAATTATACATTAACTTACTTATCTCAGGAAAAAAAGTGCCAAAATAAAGACTAATGATAATGTTAGTACCATGAGTTATAAGAAGATTAGGTATCCTTTAGACTACAAGTTACACAAAAGTCAGATTTGGGTTAGCAGTCAAATAAAATAAATTTCATTTCAGAGTCATTAATTTTGAAGTGGCAGTGACAACAAGCTTCATGTTTACTACCTGTTTTGTCATTGAGTTCTCTACCTGTATAATGGTTACAGTGGTATTAATTATTTAAAACTTCTTCCTAGCTTCATAAATTTCAAAATAACTATAAAGTTTTGAACTTAGTTAGATGCTCATCATTGGTGCTTAAAAAAAATTTACACTCGTCCTTTTTTTTTAGAACAATATTTAGTACACCAGCTTCTACACATACTATGTACAAATAAGCATAGACAGACACATTATAAATATACAGGATGACTTTTTACGCATATTTTGTATTTTTGTAGTAGAATGCAGCACAGTAACAGTCCATTGAATCTCCAAAAAGTGTAATACATAGATGCCAAATTTGGTGTTGTTCAAGTGTCATACAACAGAGGTGAAAGAAATAAAAACAAAGTCACTCTATATATTGGGATATCGACAACTTGTAAAGGTTTGGCTTGGGTTAGGTGATTTGCATTTTAAGTAATTTAAATAACAATTTTATTGTAAAACTAATAATGATGCAAGAATTACATACAAATGACATAAACTAGAGTAAAAGCAGTTGTTTTTGTATTTCTACACTTTTGTCTATCTTGCTGTTTCTGAAAGTTTCCTGTGACTATGTCAGAATGATAATAGTGACAAGTTAATTAGAATAGGTTAGGTTATCGATTAGAGTATGATATTCAATTGTGTATATTATGTTACTTTAAAACTACAACAATATTTCTGAATGAATTATACTGCACAAGTCTTACTTAGTAAATACAAATGAGTGAAGGATGACCCACATAAGATTACAGATGAAAATGTTTGATCTGTCTTTGAAATATTGTGTTATATACCCATAATGTGCAGGGTGGGCGATAGAAAACCCTCCAATAAAAGAAGAAAAAAGTAACACAATAGATCTTTCTTCAGGGTTCAGCTGTATTTGCAAAATTACTGAATCAACATGATGTTACTAATGTTCAAATGTTGTCCACCATTAGCAATGCAAGTACAATTTAATTATGAAAGAGAGTTTGTTCTGAAATTTTAGTTAATTTTCTTTTAACTAAGATAGGTTTATAGCTATATACAATATACTAAAGAATTAAACCACGAGCATTTAAAAATAGAAGTGGATTATATTATGCATGTATTACAAGTATCCTTGATAACTTTTTAAAAGAAAAAAATCTTAATAAATGCTAACATTTCAGCGAGTAGTGAAGCCATGTTAGATGTGTTTACACTTAATCCTAGGATCTATGATTGTGTGTTCAATTTAAATATTATACAAAAATACAGATCAATTTCTTTTAACTCTTTGAGTGCATAATTAAATTTTGTGTGAGTCTCAAAAAGTCTCAATTATCCATTAACAAATAAAATGTAGTGTTTGACCTTTTTTAGTACTTTTTCAATATCAAAATTCATTAGTTGCACTTTTGCTCGGTGATGTATGTACACGCAGTATTAAGATGAGAAATTCAAGGATATGTGAGTATCCTGATTGTCACACTACAAGGAAAAGTTTTCGTGGCATTGTGGGGTAAATCTGTTTGTCACACTAAACAGCTATAAATGTCAAGTTGGATAAATCCAATTATAGCTTCCAAAGGGTTAAACTTAAAATTTTAAACAAACAAATTGAAAATTTTCAGACTAATCAAAAGAGTAAAACATGCAAAATAATAATAAATGCCAAGTTACAGGATGATGGATGCGTGGGTGATCTTTATGCTTTTTTTCCATTTCTTCATGTTTCTTTATAATTTCATTTCTTTCTTCTTGTGTTAAATTATGTAAAGACTCTCTGTACTGATGTTCCTTTTCCATTTCATACTGTTTAAATTCTTCTCGTCTCCTACGATCCAACTCCTCTAAGTCTTTCGTAGCCTGAAATAACAGTGTTGCTTTAATGAACAGAAACAGTTTTATAATTACGTGCAGTACTTATTCTGTTAAGTACTAAAATTCCATTGGTATAATATATAACTTGTGTCACTTAATACTATGAACACATATCCAACAAAGCAGCTATTGCTATTTATTAAAAATATTTTCTATAAAATAGTTTTAATTTCAATTTGATTTACATATCCTTAGTTAATGCATATATAGCTGTACATTATCACTATCATTTCATTTAAAATGTTGATGACAATGTTGGTAAGCTTAGGTACTTATAACTCCCATAATCTTGTCCTTTTTTTTTTTTTACTGCCTTTTACAAATTTATGACTGTTTGGGACATTAGTGGTTAATTGAAGCAACAGCCTAGAAAGGAATAATTTACATCTATGTGTACTTGAAATTGAAAAGTAAATTTTTTATTAGACAAGCTTACTTACTGTTTTAATCAGTTTTTTCAAATCTTCCACTTCAAATGTATGAGGGTTTGCAGGATCAAGATGAACAGGAACCTTTATATTTTTTCTATTGAACCCTGTAATAACAGCAGTTGTAATAAAATTCTAACAATTTGATAGCAAGGAAAGCAGAAGTTAATGATATTCAAAGTATCTTTTATCTATTACTCTTGAATTTAAAATTTTTCACATTCTTGCTGTATTATTTTTGGAAATTTTTAAATTGTTGCAAAATAAATAGCTGGATTATTCTTTCTAGTTATAAACAATAAGTTTGATCAACAATATTATTGTTGTGGTTGGGAGTCAGGATCTTCCTTGAATAAAATATTTAAACTACAATTTTTGTAAAAATTTGAACACTGAGACTTATGGCATACAACAAATCTACTATCTTAGCTCTAAAACATTTACTCAATAAATAGAGTTGCGTATGTGAACTTCTTTAGGAAATTCTAACTTTAAAGGATATTTAATAAAGGCAGGCCGAAATTCTTACTGGTTGTATAGCAGTGTGTGTCAATAGAAGGCAACAATACTACAAATTGTCTTGTATAAAATTTCATATAAGCTGAATAAAAATTAACTGGAAAAAATGAAACTGTTGAATGGTCCTCTCTTATACCTTTGTGATTAAAATATACACTGCTCAAAAAAATTAAGGAATAACTGAATTTATATATATATATATATATATATATATATATATATATATATATAGACAAGACACTACTTACTTATTAATTAA